CCCCTCCCCGCACTTGGCTTCACAATGGCCTAAAATGTTGAACAACCTTCAAATCACAAGACAAAGACCTCACTCCTTCCTCATTCTTTCCTGGAATCAATGCTTTGCTTCACCTGGTACTCTTGAAAGAAATCCTAGCTGTTAAATCTGCTTTAAATTCCTCTTAAACTCTTATTTAAATCAAATAAACAGAGTTACCTTGGAGATGATTAATGGTTCTTTATGCTCCAGTCCGCCTTTCAGTGTAAATCCCCACGGAGCTCCTCCATGGAGTAATACTTCCAAGTAAAGGTATCTCCCCTTATGGGTTGAGTTAGCTTCTGAAGAAGAAATGACACTTCTGTTTACGCTGTCCAACATCATGAACCTCATAACTTGGTCTTTCCAAGTGCCCTCTGAACACACCCTCAGTAGCCCGTAGAGTTTGGGAACGAGAGCATCGAAGATGGAAAACCTCCACATTCGTGATGAATGATCTCACCCTCTGCCAGATCATAGGCCGTAAGGATCACCAAGAAGGACAAGTCCATTTCCCTGGTGGCCACCAGAAGTCCACGGTGCTACACAGAGAATTCTTCAGGAGAACATTCGGCCACCTTAGTCAAACCAGTCCAACTTTAGGAGATGTTTTCAGCGCGACGCGTTTCACCTCCCCTCTGCAAAACCTTTCTCTCTCAAAATCTCTTCCCGTGAACATTGCCCCAAGTTGGGCCTTCTTCACGGCGTCAGGACCAGGAAAAAAGCCAAAGAAAGGAAGAAAAGGACCAAGGAGATAGAGAGAAAGTAAGACATTTCAATCTGTTGGGGAGCAAACTCTTTAAATGAGCTCCTAGTGCTTCGTCTTTGATTGATGATCGGCCCTCTCCCCCAGTCCCTCCGCAATTTACCATTACAATGGCTGGTTTTTCCTCAGTTCATTGCATCTGAAGAATGAAAGCATCTTCTGCTGTTCTTCAACAGGCTTTTTCTACTAACTTCACTGTTTTGTGGCTTGTCAGAAGCAGCAGGACAGAAAAGGAGGATGGGAGGGGGAGCAAAGCCCAGACCTTCCTTCCTTCCTTCCTTCCTTCCTTCCTTCCTTCCTTCCTTCCTTCCTTCCTTCCTTCC